CAGACACACATGCACACGCATGCACAAGCTTTCTCTCTGTAGGGGGGGGGATGGGAGAAAGAGAGAGAAAATAATTTGAAAGGGAAATAGAGATGGAGAGAGAGAAACACACGCAGAGAGAGAGAGAGAGAGAGAGAGAGAGAGAGAGAGAGAGAGAGAGAGAGAGAGAGAGAGAGAGAGAGAACGATAACGATAAGGGGATAGTAAGACTCCGCTGCATGGGTTAAAAGAAAGAGAAACCAACAAAACGCTAGACTGCATTGCGTCAGGCGAAGAAACAACGTAACAACTGTAAGGGAAATTCGATCAGAGCGAACTCAACCACCTGAAGCACGTCCCATAAAGTGAGCCATGATGAAACGCCCATCACAGGAACAATATCATGATACAGATACATTATGTCCATATCATATTATACTTAGCTGGGCGAAATCCATCCAGCTGTTGCGAAAACGACACGTCATATCTCTCTCTCTCTCTCTCTCTCTCTCTCTCTCTCTCTCTCTCTCTCTCTCTCCCAATCTCTTTCTCCCTCTCCCAATCTCTTTCTCCCTCTCCCAATCTCTTTCTCTCTCTCGTTATATTTCTCTCTCCTTATCCCCTTCTACCTTCCTATCCCTCTATCCTTTTCTCTCATTATCAGAGTATCTCTTTATCTCTGTCTGTCTGTCTGACATAATATACACCCAAATACACAAACCTAAACCCAAACACACACACACACACACATATATATATATTTTTTTTTCCCAAACACAAACACAAACACACACGACAGGACCACACATTTAACACAAAACCAGTGGCTGGTGTTTTAAATTTACTAGGCAGAAATCCACCCATATACTGCTGACAAAGACAAATCCACGAAGCTGTTACGTCACCATTCATAGTGAACACCACATTTTGCAAAATCTGTCAGCGGTAAGTACCGGAGACACTGTGCCATTCTATTTCATCGTAAAATTGTAATCATTTTCATGAGGGTGGTTGGCGAATGCTCTGGTGTGATTTGCTTCTTCATTCCCATCAAACATCTATCGTCCTCGCATTAAAAAAAAAAAATCTCCCCCACCGTCGCTGGACCGATAAAAACAACAACAAAAACAACGACAACAACAACAACAACAACAACAATTGTAACACCTCTAATCTCGAAGACATATTACGACCTTATTGTGTTGAAAGTGCCGTGAAACTCATACTAAAACTAAACTAAATCACTTTCATCTGGTGACATGCTGGGAGGAGGAAGGGATGCTTTTAGAACTAATTAGGCTATCTCCTTTACTCTCCCTCCTTCTCTCCCCTCTCTCTCTCTCTCTCTCTCTCTCTCTGTGTGTCTCTCTCTCTGTCTCTGTCTCTGTCTGTCTGTCTCTCTGTCTCTGTCTCTGTCTCTGTCTCTCTCTCTCTCTCTCTCTCT